CCAGAGGTTACGGTGTGCGCGGGTATCTGCAGGGAGAAGGCGTGGTCACTGCGAGCCCCGCACGCGCGTCAGTCTGCACCGATCCCACCCTGGCCCCTGCGAGTCCTCTCACCATTCTTAAATGGGCAGATGCTCGTTCTCACGGAGTCCGGTTCCAGAGGCCACACCTGGATAGGAAACAGGGCTCCACGGTTAGGTCACCCCAACCAACCCTCCAGGGACACATGCAGGCCCAGTGCTATTCATTCGGCTGATTTTTCACAAACACTTGTCTGGTCATCCTTTGCAAGGCCCTAGAGAGGTACACATTTATTCTTTCAGCAAACCCTATGTCAAGATCTGGCAACATCTTTGTTTAACAAACTTTTTTAATAAATCGATTTTAGAGAGAGAGGGGATTGGGGGAAAGACAGAGAGAGAGAGAGAGAGAGAGAGAGAGCTTTTTTAATAAATCGATTTTAGAGAGAGAAGGGGATTGGGGGAAAGACAGAGAGAGAGAGAGTGAGAGTGAGAGAGAGAGAGAGAGAGAGAGGCCTCATGTCTCCACCAGCAGCATATCATCCTTGAGGGGCCCCAGAGAGTCTGAAAGGGATGAGAGTCAGGTATGAGGGGTGAACCCTGGAAGTGCCAGCTCCTAGGGGTGAAGGTCAGGTATGAGGGGGGCACAATGTCAGGCATTGTGCAAGGCTCTGGGGAGTTACTAAATTTGAATTAGCTATTATTTTTTTTTTGCCTTCAAAGAAAAGACAAGTGCACAGTTGAAGTAAGGATAAAAATGTTTATAAATTAATAGATTGGTCACTCATTTATTGAGCGTCTGTTGCATTCAAGAAGAAATGAGACAGGTGCCCAAATAAAAAAGGAAATGGACAAGGAAGGACAGACATACAAGGAGATGTGTAGATAGGCCAGGAGATTGCGGGAAAGAGGTGACATGTGAGCTGGAAGGATTTGGTTGTATGGAAAAGAAGTGGGGGCATTTCAGGTAGTGGGAACAACCTGAGCAAAAGCACAGAGGTGGATATATCTTGATAAGTAGCTCCATCTGGAGGGAACAAAATTTCCATCAAGGGGAATCGTGGGAAAGACCAGAGAAAAGGTTCAGTTGGGGGTCAGAATATGGGACTCAGAATGCTAGGGAGTTCTGGGAAAGGAGGTGGCATGGGAAGTTATTGAAACAGTCTAGAGGAGATATGATAGAAGCCCAAACTGGACTAAAATGGAAAGGAGAGGGAAAGAGAATGAAAGGCATTAATGTCAGAGGTCAAATAGATGGAATCTGATGACCAATTAAATGTGCAATCAGAGGGAGAGGAAAGAACCAGCAAATATAAGCCTACATGTGGCATACTTCCTTATAACAGCCCTATGAAGCTGGTACTATTACTGGTATTCTTCCCATTTCACAGATAGGAAACAGGCTCAGAGAGGTGAAGTGACCTGCCCAAGGTCACACAGCTAGCAAATGGTAAGAGTCAGGATTCAAGCCAGTCTGAGTTCACAGCACATGCTCTACCCTCCGGGGAGCACAAGAGGAAAGTGGAGGAATAGAGGAAGACTTCAAGGAGGAAGTGACATCTGAATGGGTCATGAAGCATAAGTAGGAGTCTTGTGGTTAGAGGATCAGGAAGAGTATTCGAGGCATGCAACAAGCAGAAGACATAGGACAGCAAAGGTCAAGGGAGGGCCAGTCACCCTAGGGAGCCATAGTTTTGCCCTCAAAGGGGAGGGTAGAGGATAGTGAGACCAGGACAGATAGGGCCACCCCCTCACCAACTCCCCTGGCATCCAGCTAGGCTCTGCTCCTACCTGAATACAGAGACAGGGAACTACGTCTGTGTGGTTCAAGGTAATGGTCTGCGGCCCAGTCTGTGGGGTAAACAAAGGGTGGGGGGAGTTGGAGAAGATAAGGAGATAAGGGAGAGGGGAAGGCTGGAGGTCAAAGCTAAGGAAACCAGGCATGCAGCATTTCCCCCACTGATGTTCCTTGCTTTGGGGGTCAGTTGCTGTGTCCTCTTCAAGGGCTCCCTGGCATCCTTTGCATGGGCATCAGCCTAGAGTGAAAACGGACCTGGGAGGGGGAGGCCTCACCAGGTTTCTGTGCCACCAGGGTTTTGTAGGGCCCTGGACCTGGTTCCAGTACAGGGAGAGGCCAAAGTGCTGTTCCTCAGAGACATCCAGCACCAGGTGCACATCCTCACCATCTGCAGACACGTTGAGCCAGGGCAGGGCTGGGGGGAGCCAAAGAGAAACTTCCTTTACCTCTTCTGCACACCCAAGCCTGAGCCATACCCACCGACTGACCCTTTGGAGTTCCCTTCAAATCCTCTAGACTGGGAGGCTCCTGGAGGACAGAGCCAATGTCCCCATCTCAGACCAGGCAGCTGGGGACTGACCTCATGTAGGCCCCAGTATGTGGTCTTGAGATCACCCTTTCCTTGCTTCTCCCTCCCCAGCCAGAAGGATCCTGTAACCACTATAAAATAAATCATTCTCCTGTGCTCAGTACCCTCTGATGCCCTCTCTACTCCCCCACCCTCCGTCATTACTCCCAGAGGAAAAACCTAGTCCTTACAAAGGCTTGCAAGGCCCTACCTATCCAATTTGGCCGCTGTGACCACTCTGAACTCATCTCCCTAGCCCATACCACAGTTGTGGGCTTGATTCCCAATAGGGGGTGTGCAGGAGGCAGCCAATCAATGTTTCTCATCGATGTTTCTATCTTTCTATCCTTCTCCCTTCCTCTCTCTCTAAAATCAATAAAAACATATTTTTAAAAAAGAAAATACAGCCCTAACCGGTTTGGCTCAGTGGATAGAGCGTCAGCCTGCAGACTGAAGGGTCCCAGGTTAGATTCTGGTTGCGGGCACATCCCCAGTAGGGGGTGTGCAAGAGGCAGCTGATTGATGTTTCTCGCTCATTGATGTTTCTAACTCTCTATCCCTCTCCCTTCCTCTCTGTAAAAAAATCAATAAAATATATTAAAAAATAAAAAGAAAATACAAAACAAAAAAAATCTAAATAGTGCAGGGAAAAAACCATAAGAATACAAAACAAAAAAATCTAAATAGTGCAGGGAAAAAACCATAAGAAACCTGACTTACTTAGCCCCTCATTTTATGGTTTAATATTTTTATTTGATATATTGGGGAGGGTGCACCATAATCTTGGCAATGCTTTGAGCTTCTAGATGTCCCTGATATTAATAAATATTTTCTACAGAGAGTGAGAGATTCACCTTTATGTTCCCAGTGGCTGGCACAAAGTAGGAGCTGTTGCAGTTCATGTGTGATGAATGAATGAGTGAATGAATGAATGAATGAATGAGCTCTGCACGTTTCTGGAATGTGGCAGCCCAGACCTAAAGCCAACTCCAAGGGTTTCTCACACTCCAGACCCTGGCCCTCCCTCCTCCCAGCCCCACTGGCCCTAGCCCCTACCCCAGCAGCTCTGGATGCTGTCCTGGACTTCGAGCTCCCTGCAATCTGGGGAGAGATCACAGAAAAGCCTCCGGTGGGGCTGGGGACCAAGGAAAGAAGGGGGACAACCCGACTCATGGGGAGCTCTGCAAAGGGCTCCCTGTCCCCTAGATAACCACCCACATCTATGCAGTGCCCAAAGCACTTTCCCCAGGGATGGGAACTGACTGGGAGGATGTGAGCTCACACCACTGCCTGGGAGTAGATAGGACTAGGAATGGGATGAAAGCAGGAGGGGAATGGCCAAAGGGATGGGAGATTAGGGAGGCTAGGATTTGGGTCCCCGGAGGCTCTGTATCCACTTACCAGGCAGCTGCTGTATGAAATTGAGTTCCTTCTGGTACCTGGGCTGAGTGTAGGACCAGATTTGCACCTCAGCTCCTAGAGCAGCCTCGAAGCAGTCAAATGTTACAGAGCCCTGTGAGGAGAGGGGTGGCAGAAGGCTGGTGGTATAGGCTCAGAATCCATGCCAGGGATGTGGGATCCTCTGTGTGGACCACTCCCTCCCATCCTCCCCCAGTCAATAACTATATTCATACTGTATGGCCCGAAATTCTGCCATTGAAGTGTCTTTAAAGGGCTCCCAATTCTAAAGTACACACCCTCAAATAGGGGTGTCAGCAGGGCAGAGATAAGGGCTCTAGCTACTAGAGTCCCTGCTCCAACTCCAGTTGTTCTGGATCACATGGCCAAAGCTAAGGTGACTGGACACCCCTCCCCACAGAAGTGGTTCTCACACCCAGTGCCTCATTGGTCCTCACGATTGCCCCATGAGGTGGGCCAGCAGATGTTCACCCACTCAACAATTTTCCAGATCAGAGGATATTGCCTGAGGCCTGGGGGCAGGAGGGGACGTCAAAGGGTTTGAGTGATTTGGCCCAAGCAGAGGGACACTTCCAGGAGTAGCCCCAACACCCTGCAGCTTGGTGTACACATGGGGCAGACACGGTATGGACGGAAGTCCAGAGCAGTGGGTCCAGCCCACAGACTTTCCCTGGAAAATGAGGGTCATAAAAATACCTAGCTCATGGCATTGTCACCTCACTTAATTCTCACAGCATCCAGATGAAGTAGGACTTTTCTTATCCCCACTTTACAGACAGGAAAATGGGTATAAAGGGCTGAAAGGATTTGCCCACAGCCCTGATCAGAGTCAGGACTTAAAGAGATAATATGTGTGGAAGCACTGTGTAGATTTCATATTCAGAAGGTGGTTATTATTATTATTATTATTATTATTATTATTTTCAAGACCACAGACTGACCAAGCTGCACGAGAGCAGCGGGCACTTGCACCTCCAGCAGGACACAGCGGGCAGTAGGGTAGGCCTGGAAGGAGAGCACGACTTGGGCCTGGAGAGAGGCTGTGAGCAACAAGGCGAGAGTTGGTCAGCCCCAGGGGCCGCAGGCAAGGCCCTGGTAAGGGGCAGTTGGGCCAGCAGGGTGTCCCTCACCATTCTTAGGCTCTTCAAGCTCTGGGTCAGCTGCTCTTCCAAATTGCTCCTCATCTTCAGGCTCTTCCCAGTGGCCTGGAAGGCCCCAAGAACAAGGCCCAGGTCAGGCCTCCTGCTCTGGGCTGGCTTTGGGTTTGGCTTTCTTCCAGAAAGTGCATGCGGGGAAGCAGGGGCCAGGCCTGAGGCCTGGGGGTGGGGGTGGGGGATGGGGAGACCAGACCAGCCTGGGGTCCTTTGGCCAGTGACCTCCAGAAGGATGTCCAGTGCTGCCTGGCAAGACTGCCTGATCCTCATGCCCATCCCAGATACATTCACATGTGCACATGGGTGACATGCTCACCACGCACAGCCAAGTGGACGGTCACACGCACACAGAGGTTGCAGTCGGTCTCCTGATGACACCTCAGCACCAGCTCTGTCTGTAGGTGTGTGGGCACCAGCACAGGTCCTGGGGCAGGCTCGATATTCCCAGGCAAGCAGAGTACGTCACCATCTGTGCGTGAAGGGCAGGGTGGGAGCTGAAGCTGTTCTCTACCCAGAATTTGGTTGCAATTGACACCCCCAGAGGGCCAAGGAGCTTGGGCTTTTCAGGGGCTGAGGGTAGGCCGTGAGGGCATGGGACTGGGACAACTCCCCTCCCTTCCACCAACCTAGAAAGTTATTTTCTCTCCAAAAGTAGGGCTACTCACCCCACAGGTGGCAGGAGAGGCCCTGGGAAGGAGGTAAAGGAGCGTCAGGATATATGATCTTAAATCTAATCCTCTTTCCCTGCCTGAGATCCCCACGGACCTCTTTCTGGGGCTCCCTATTCCAAGCCTCTCCCAGCAGAAGACAGACCCAGCTCTGGCCCCTTCCCCATTCTCCTCTTACTCCATCAGTACCAGACAGACCAGCTAGGGCAGTTCTGGTGGCGGCGGCGGCGGCAGTGACGGCAGTGACGGGAGCCAGGCTAGGGCCTTGATGGGCCTCAGTCTGAACCCTGAGCCTTCCCCAACCCTCCCAGGGCCCCAGACTCACCAGAGAGCAGTTAGCAGTATCCTGAGGCCCCATAAGCCTCTCCAGAGAGAGGACCATGGGGCTTGGGCCCAGTGCCAAGGACAGCAGGAACCAAGGCACAGGCATCTTCCAGGTGCCAGGTGGCACCCAGGCCCTAGGCCCTGTCCTGCCCCCCCCAAGGGGGGGGCAGATACCTCATCTGTGCTCCCACTCAGTCCCCAGTGGTTGGGCAGGAGGGGCCAGAATCTCTCCCCAGCCTCCCAGGTTCCAGAGCTGGCGAGCTGGCACACTCTGTCTCCTCGGAGTCCTGACTTGAATCTTAGTCTCAGCCGAAGTGCTTTCGTTTTTTGACTCCTGGCAGGGAGCTGGCTGTTCCCGCCCCACCCTGTCCCTCCCACTAGGCCTGGGAGCCAGCAGCCTTGGATTGGGGTGGTGGCCTCATCTCCTCTTCCCCTCCTTTTCCTCCTCCCTTCCTCTCTCTCCTCCTCCCCTGCTGACATCTGGCTGGGAGGGCCCCTGGAGAGGGCGTAGCAGACTGGCCTCTTGACTTAGTAAGCTCTTACTCACCCCAGGAGTCCCTAAGGAGGGCTGTGAGTGCACCCCAGGGCCTGGGCGATCCTAGGGCATTTTTGCTTCCCACCCTGAGTGCCAGTAAGAGGGGATCTTGGTGCCCACTGGATCCCCTCTTACTGGCACTCAGGGTCTCTTCACACAGACTCATTGGGCCTCAGTGACCCTTTGTAAGTTGGGAGCTCTAATGGCAGGGACAGGGGGACCAGAAAGTGGGCTTTGCACCCCTTCCCAGCTCAAGCGTGATAGTGGTGGGAGAAGGAACCCAGGATCTGGGGCCAGGCAAACAGGGGTCCCATTTGTGCTTTTGCCCTGGGCTGGCTGTGCACTGATGGACACACACCACTTTTTTGAACTGTTTTTTCCTCTTTTCTCATTAAAGAATTATAGTGAGGATCAAGATTTCCAGGTCCTCCTTTGCCTTTCCAGTGACACGGCATGGTGGATGGGGTGTGGGCGTGGACATGGAGGATTTGGGCAACGACGGATGGATTTCAACCCCCAGGCAGGGTGATGCTGACCCTTCCCCTAACTGAGCATCCTGGGCACACCGGAGAAGCACATTGTGTTTCTTAGTTTATCCATCACGTTTGCCTTTATTCATCTTTCTCCATCTTGGTGTCCACTGTCCCACCTTTGTCCTGGCCACCCAGGGCCACAGCCTTTCTTCCTGGGTCCAGTCCTCCCTCCCTTTCCACCTGAGCAAGGCCTGGGGCTGGGAAAGGGGGTTTCTCCTACTTCTCTGGAGTCAACCCCCTTCAGAAAGGCCATAGCTCCTGCCTCCCCCACCCCCGCCTCAACCTCTCGGGCCTTCACTGGAGCATGCGCAGACTCCTCTCTGGAATTTCGGAGAGAGGAAGTGGGAAGGTGCCCCTCCCACATCAGAGTCAGAGGAGCCCCCAAGAAAGAGAGACTCTCTCCCTGGGGGTCCTGAGAGGCAGGGAAGCTTCAGGGGAAAGCCTGGCGAAAGTGTGCAAGGGCCAGGAGCGAGTCCGGTGCTCTGCTCCTGGGCTGGAAGGCAGGGAATAAGGCTTTGGGGAGTAGTCCTCGGGAGGCACCCTGAGAATTCCAGGGTTGAAGCCTCTTTCTGGGTGCCAGCCAGTGCCCCTACGCCGGTGGCCAAGACATCTGGATTGCTGGGGAGCTCCACTCAGCCTCGGTGGGCAAGTTGGGCGGCCTCGCGTTCCAGCTGGCGACACAGTTCCAGGCGATTCCG